TTAACAAACAATATATACTTTTTCCTATTCTGTTATTATTAACCTGGGTCTTTTCCATGCCTTCCTCCATAAAACATACTTTGTTCAGTAGAGATTAGCAATTTTTTGTTGCCTTTTGTTACTATGTGAGCATTCTCTGAATCGCTTGCAAATACATCGCAACACGAGGCTACTGATGGGTAGGAAAAGCAAGCTAGTGTGTCCTTGAGTAGACCTTTTTCTTTATTAGATCTGGTTTGGTTTCAGGGAATAAAACCCTGCAACAATAAGTCATTTGGGAAATGAAGCTCAAAGTTCCTTGAATAGTCAAATCCATATTGCATGTGACTGAAGCCTAAGGCCTGGAAACCAGAGAACATTCAGGCAGTTTCAGGATTAGTTGTGATGCATGCTCAGTGGCAGAACTATCAGATCACAGCTTGCAGAGAGTCAGCCTTTCCCCCTGAAACTATTTTAATGGGGGAGAGAAAGTTCAATGGAAGTATTTTTTTTCTTAGGCTTCATACCCAAAGGTGAAGATATATCAGCACTGAGAAACAAAGGAATCAGGATGTGAAATGTTCATGATCTTTCTAACCAAGGAAATATTATATACAGCTTGCTAGGAAGCACTCCTATATTTGAAATCTGCTCTTACTGGCTGCATTTTTACATCAAAGAAGTTGATTTTGCTTTTAACATGATTTGCCAAATAAGCCAGAAGTAAACTGTAGTTAGTCTTTTATATGAGAAGCGTATTTTATTTCCCATTTGATTTGCCGCCTCCTTTTGAGCATCCTTGCTTTGCAATTTTATGGATTAGTTAGAGCAGGGGTGTGAAACTTGCTGCCCGCGGGCCGGATGCATCACGTGCTGGCCACCCCCACCCATGTTTTAGTGAAGAGGAGGAAGTCGCGATACATCACATGATGACATGATGGCGCGAGTTTGACAGCCTTGAGTTAGAAGCTTTTTACGATAAAATCTAACCAGGAATAAGGCTGAAAATCTAGATAAGCTATGAGGTCTGCCAGGCAAAACCATTGTCTGAATAATGAAATGAAATGGACCTCAACACTGATCACATAAATAGTTTCACTAGGAATTTGCAATTGCAGACACTATAAATCTGCACCAGTGAAAATCTCTCTGGGCTGGAGAATGTTTCAGAGTGCTAAAGAATCATTGTCTTGTGCTTGACTGCCTATGCTCTTTTTAGTGCAGAATACTGACTTGCCCTATTCTACAGTGGTCCAATTAGAAACATGAAATGACCAAGCATGCAAGGTATCATCATCATCTAATAAATGATAACTTTTAAGTATTTGTGCTGTACATTTGGCTGCAGGGATATAATAATAGATTTTGTGGTGAGATACTGGCTTGAATGTATTCATTTGGCATCATCAAAATAACTTGAAATTTAATACAGGCAAATAAATGCAGTAGAAGTCATACATTTAGCATAGTTGGATCAGATGAAGCACTTATCTTGTTAACCATAAGCAGACACTTCCTTGTTCCCAGCTCCTGGGATTTGTTTGTAGCATTGTACTGGCATGATATCGTGAAGAAGTCTGAACGCTGAACCCGGATTTGAGAAAGCAACACAAGTGTATCAACATATCAACAGAATTGCAGCAAGACGCTTGCACTTTACTCTTTTGTTTTTATGGTGAGGGGAGAAAGATGTGTGTTTAGACATAAAGCTGAGGAACAAGATAGTTACACTCCATTAATGAACAGCAAGTGAGTTCAGTAGTTAAAGGGTTATAGCTTAAATGTCGTTTTGCCAAGGAAACTGGTCCTTTCTTCAAGTCTTGCTTATGGCTAACAAGATACAGGTAATCCTTGAGTTACAAATGTAATGGAACCTGCCAATTACATTCGTAACCCGAGGATTCGTTCGAGTGAATCATGTAAATCGAACTTGATCACTCCCTGCTTTCACCCACGCATTCACTAATTGAATGTGTGGCTCATTAAGTACACTTGAGGTGTCTCAGGGTGGGGAAGGCCATGGGGGGGGGGGCGTAGTGATGGAAACCTCCTTAAGACCACCCAAGGCCTCCCTGGATCCACTGAGATGCCACATGCTCCCTCCCATGGGGTCCATACAATTGTTTTCCCCCATCCTACCATGCCAGATCATACCTTACCTTGTGAAGATCTAGCAGCTGTTTCCTCTTCAGCCTCGCTGCCATGGTTTCTTTGCCTGCTTACAGTATCTGCACGAAAAGCAAGCTGATGGGAGGCTTGAAATAACACAATTTCGCTGCCCCAAAGTCTTGTTGCTTGCAAGTGCTCTCCGGCCAGATCTGGTGCAGGCCTCGGTTTGCCGAGAACAAAGGCCTAAACACTGTAATATGAGATTCACATGAGATCAGTAGTTTGAAATCTTGTGCTACTGATCCTGCATATTTTGCACTACAGTACTTTAGGCATCTAGTTCTCTGCAAACTGAGGGTTGCATGAGATCTGCGGCAAAAGACTTTGCAAACAGATAGGCCTTCCCTCTATTTGCAAAGCCTTTTGCTACAGAGTCCTGTGTGATCTTGCAGAATGGAGGTCTGTACCAGATCCATGGCAAAAGGCCTTGCAAATGGAGAGAAGACCTCTATTCCCAGAGACCTAATGTATGGTAGTGCAAAATCACATGAGATAAGTAGCAAGAGATCTCGCACTATTGATCTCATATGATCTCACTTTAGATCTCTGTTTTCCACGAATGAATTGAAGCAATCAAAGGAACCAATGGATCGCTAGATCATTGCAAGGTAAGTGAGTCTCCATAGGCCCAGTTCCTGTGGAGACCCGGCGGGTGGGGGGAAAGAGGCAGGGCAAATGTTGCAGTGCCTTTGCAGTCATTCGTAAGTGTGAACGACTGTGATGGTGTTGCAACATTTGTAACTTTCTGACTGTCATAAGTATAGTACTGGGGTGGGTGGGTGGAGATTATGTTGTAACTTCAAACAGTTGCTAAATGAACTGTCATAATTCAATGATTACCTATAGTTGCTTCATCTGATCCAGCTGGGCTAAAAGCATGACTTGTATTGCATTTATTTGCTATTGTTATATTGTTATTTTCTGGGCATTTTTCTAATTTGTCAAGAATATTTTGGATTTTCTTTATACCCTCCAGTGTATTAGCTATTACAGCCAACTTTGTATGATCTGAAAATTTAATCAACATTCCCCATACTTTCTCATGCATGTCATTAATGAGATTCATAAATAATAGGAACTAGGATTAAATCTGTCTGCATACTTCCATCCAGCTTGATGCAGAACTATTGGGGGTTCTTCATATTCTCTAAATATGATCTTTGAGGAAGATTTATACCCACTTAATTCTCCTACCACATTTAATTAGAATGTTCTGGATACTTTGCCCACAACATTCTAACAAAATAGTAAGGAAGTTACTTTAAAATGATATAAGATTTAGTGGGAAAAGATTGATTCTTGACATAACCATTCTGAGGTCTGATAATCACTGGGTTTGCTTTCAAGGTGTTTTTACACCAGTTAATTATATTCTGTTCTAGTTTTCAATGTTAGACTAATTGGTTGGTTGCCTGGATCTTCTATTTTGGCCTATCCCCCTAATTAGAAATGGCATTTGTTCTCTTTCAGGAGTCAGCTACTTCACACATGCGCCACAATTTTTTAAAGGCATTCCTTATTATTGCTTTGTGTTTTATATATTTATAATTATGCTATGGATGTTTTAATTATTCGCCTTGTATGTTTTTGTGTTGTTAGTTGCTGGATGTATCAGGAGATTTGCAGTATACACACCTCCTAAACAAATAAATGTTTGACCACAGAACCACCAAGTTCCTTTGAAATTGTAGGATACTGTTTATCTGGCTCTAGACATTTTAAATTGTTCAAAATAAATAGGTATTACCTGGGTAGACTGTACTTATTCTTTTCTTTCATTGGTACTAAATGGGGAAACATCTTTATTTTTGTTCCTTGAATCCTTAGCTCATCTTGAATCTTTTCCTTTCTGATATCATCTCGGTAATTCCAGGCTATCTCTGTATATCCTTCCTTGGCAACAAACCTGTTTTTCACTTATTACATGCCCTTTCAAAAAATTACTCTTAGTTCTTTACTAAGCTTTTTTTTCACCACCACATTTGCTACTTCTACTGTTCCCCATTTCTTTTCTCACTGAAAATTGTACTGTTAGTATCGTCTATTGAAAGAACTACCAGCCATCTTAAAACTCTTTTCTTGTTATCTCCTTGTGCCAGGGAATTCTATTTGCTTTGAATTTATTATAACCCCTTTTCTTGACATCATTGCAACATTATACATTTAGTTGCTGTCAGCTTTGGTTTCCCTCATATAATAGAATCTCCAGAATTATGTGCCCATTTTAAACCTATATTCCTCTTCCATTTGAACTGATGGGTGCTTGCTTCCCTGTTGGTTATCAGTTGGTCAAAGATAGCTGATACTCCTGTAGCTTAGTCTACTTTCTAAAGGAGAGATTTATGAATAAACACATCAGAAATTTCTTGGAAGGACCATACTATTGTCTCCCAACAGTTTTAATTAAGATTATGCTTTTTTCAGTTTTCAGATTTCAGTTTGCTTCTGGAAAGCATCAATCACATCTTCTACTTGAATGTACAGTGGAGGCAACAATACATCCCAACAAAACACTCTTTTATTTATTCTCCACTTACTATAAATACAGATGTCTTCAATTATTTTACAGAATTTTACGTGAAGTTCTGAAATGTGAAACCATTAACATGCAGTGCCATTCTCCTCCCTTTCTACTGCATTTTGAATACATTGTATACTTTGAGAACTGTATTCTAGTCATGGGATTATACCAATTAAGTCCTATTTATTTTCCTGTTCAAAGAATTCGAGCTTATTTTATTGCAAATATTCCCATGAACATTATGAAAACCTTTCTGTTTCTTTTTTCTTCTTTCACACAAGCTTCATTTCTAGGTGAAAATAAGGGATGGGATCAATCAAATTTGACAGATTTAATTCTCAAGTTCACCAACAATAGAAAAGAATACCACTTCCATCCTATTTGGAAACTTGAATTTGTGACTCCTGGGTATTTTCACTGTCACCTCTTTGGCATCAAAGCAGACAAAGAGTTTGATGTCTTCCCCCGACAGAAAGGGAACTGTGACTCCCTGAGTTTCACACTTCATTCTCCACACATTTTGGAATTTCAAACAATGGTCTTAACATTCAAAGCAAAGGTTGAAGTGAAGGATTAGCTCAGTCTCATCCTGTCCCAAGCTGATGGCATTTAGTTCTACCTTACCTTTCTCTTTGATGCAATCCCCAGTCCATGATTTTTATGTCAGCAACCAGTTGCACTGCCTTGCTTTTATATTTCTTGAGAAATAGCAGCACAGGCTAAAAACAAACCAACCCCCTTAATTGTCTGAAAATCTCTCTGATTTTTATTGAGTGGTTCAATGGTACTATTTCTTGCACAAACACTTAGACTTATATATCGCTTTACAGCCTTCTCTAAGTAGTTTACAGAGTCAGCATATTGCCCCCAACAATTTGGATCCTCATTTTACCCACCTCGGAAGGATGGAAGGCTGAGTTAACCTTGAGCCTGGTGAGATTTGAACTGCTCAACTGCAGTCAACGAGCAGTCAGCAGAAGTAGCCTGCAGTACTGCGCTCAAACTGCTGTGCCACTGTGGCTCTTAACAGTGCAGAACCTTTTATCTGAACTCTGTTTCAAGGATCTTTTCCTCCAATCCCAGTCCATTCAAGTCTAGTGATAAAGTTTGCAATATTTCATCTAAACACATTTCTATGGGTTCTTTTGGGGTACAAATCAACTTCTGTCTCTGGAGATTCTCAAACATCCAGGGTCATGGTTGTCCCAAAGATGCTTTTCAAAAGACAACTGGGCTTTATTTGTTTTTTCTTTGAAAACATTTCATTTCTCATCCATGAACTGAAGAAGCTTTTTAGATTAGAAACTAAATGTTTTAAAAGAAAAACAAAGCCCAGTTGCCCTTTGAAAAACATCTTTGGGACAACTCAACATTTGCAAGTGGTCTGTTTTCCATATAATTCAGACCAATGATTCAAGAATCTAAATATATCCTATCAGTATTATTTCTACCCAGTTTTTCATCTGCAGTAATCTTCTCTTTTTCATGAACCAGAAGCAGAGACATATAAAGAGTGAGATTAGCAGAGGTAGGGCAACTAAGCAACCGATAACTCTGAAGTCCCCTTAAGCTTTCTACAAATTTAATCAAACCTTAAATAATTCTAAAAGAAGGACTGCATGAAGGGAAGAAGGAACCAAGGATTTTGCTGTACATACCTGGGGTAAGATGAGACCATGAAATGAAAGTAGAGAATGCAGAATACAGAACAACAAAGTTGGAAGGAACCTTGGATGTCTTTTAGTTCAATCTCCTGCTCAGGCACAAACCATGTACCATACTGGACAAATGACTGTCTAATATCTTCTTAAAAATTTCCAGTGATGGAGCATCCACAGTCTCTGGAGGCAAGCTGTTCCATTGATTAATTGTTCTAACTGTCAGGAAATTTCTCCTTAGTTCTAAGTTGGATCTCTCTTTTTAAGCTTCAATCCATTACTTCTTGTCCTGCCCTGAGATGCTTTGGAGAATAGGTTGACCCCCTATTCTTTATGACAGCCCCTAAAATATTGGAAGATTCCTATGATGTCCTCTTTGATAGACTAAGAATACCAAGTTCCCATAATCCTTCATCATGTCTTAACCTCCAACCCCTAGTCGTAGTTGTTGCTCTTCTCTGCATTCTTTCTAAAGTCTCAGCATCTTCTGACCATTTGACCTAAGATATCCCAGCAACTTCCTTGGCACCTGCTACTGACCATTCTCTTTCTGTAACCCTGACTCTGATCAGGCTTTGAAGAAGCTTTCTTCCGTCAATAGTGCAGCAGATGGAAGCATCATCTGTATTTTCATATTGTATAGAGGAGCCTACAGTTCTGGATCTTAGGCAACTCAACATATGGCCTCAATCAGAAGGATGGATTGTTGTTTGTTTTGTTAGATCTTCAAAGTCCATATTAGGGAAATACCTTTTTAATTCACAGAAAGATGCAAAAACGTGAAGAAATAGGATTTATGACTAAGTAAATATAAATCGTCCAAAACAAAACATCAATTAACCTCTTCACCCTTATCCAGAATCAGTTTGCATGGAGAATACATCAAGGGAATAAGAAAAAAATGCACTCAACAGAACTGCAAAATCTGATGGGCTCTCACTGTCTACTTTATTAGTTAGTTATATTCAGCTCATCCTTCCAAAGAAGTTCACATGATCTCAGATCTCCCAGACATTTCATGGCTGACCAAAAGCTGATAAAGCTGCCCAATATACAGAACAGATATAAATTCAACATTTCATAGGATGTCTGTAGTACTTGGAAACTTTACTCCCTTTTTTTCCTACTCTCTTTGCAACTGCTTAGCTTCTTGAATTTGTTCTGGTAAAGACTGTCCAAATGAATTGGCAATCCTTAAGGTGCAATCCTGAAGGTCCAGTAGATGCGTGAAAATGAAGCATTACTCCCAGACCCTTTAGGAAACTTCAATTCTGAATGAAATGGTTCTTCTTCATATCCCTGTAGAAATCCCTCCACTTAAAAGATCTTTGAGGGTTTTTTTTTTCTCAATTTTCTAGTGATGGCTATTTATAATTGTCAGAATCTCCAGCTGTTTCAGGTAATAAAAGCAGCTATCAAGTCTAAACACATCTGTGTCACACATATGGTGTTTCAGGCCAGAGCTTTCATTTTGCAGAACACAAAGGATGACTCTTTCTGCCATTTCTACTGTTTCTGCTCTGCGTCTTGCTTCAAAATGCTTGGGTAATTTTCTTTGATGACAAAGCAATTATATTACCATGGTTTGCTGCTAAGGCAGAACTAATAGGAGCAATAATCCTGAGGTACAAATACTTGTTTTCCTTCTGTATCTGCTAACCTTCTGTGATATAAGAACTGTAGAAGCTGTGTAAAAATGTTTGTGTGGCACTGTTTGAGAAGATGCTCAAGGAGAAAGATTGTCAGACAGTAGCTATAAGGACCAGGCCAGGAGTCAGCAACCCACGGCTCTGGAGCTGCATGTGGCGCTTTCATCTTTCTGCTGCAGCTCCCTGTCGTTGGTCAGCTCCACAAATAGTAGGGCTTTCGGTTAGGACAAAGGAAAAAAGATGCAGTGCTAGGAGGAGACTCTATGGTGTGGGAACCAGATTTCCGGTTGGCTCCAGAATTGAACGGAGGGCTTCCAGTTAGGACCCTTGTGGCTCTTTGAGTGTTTAAGGTTGCCGACCCCTGGACCGGGCATTATATGAAGGCCTTCCAAATTTAATTACTACATTACTGGATTCCCCACATTAATTGGCAACTTATTTCTGTATATAATTACACTGAAATCTATGTTTTCCAGTGAGCCTTATCTACAGATCCAGATTGCAGATATTCCTAACATAACAGAGTTTATTAAATGCTAGATGATATGGATGTGCTGAACATTAGAAATCTGATCTTCTTTACTATTAATGGTAATAGGCAAGTTTTCTACTTTATCAGGGTTTTTAATGGTTTTGTTCACATCTTTCTCTAATATAAAGAACTTTTGTGAGCTTCTCATAATTTATGCAGTTGTTCAGTAAATTCCATGGGAGACATTATTTTAAATGCAAGCATTCATTACATCATTCTTTTGTTTGGAAATATTCTTAATGCCTGCCTACATTTAAAATGCATTTCTTTAGTGTAAAGCTGTTTTCCCATTTATGAAATTACTCCCTATTGTTTGCTGTTTACCCATCTTTTTTTTTTCCAGAAGAGGCATCTTGCAAAGAAATGTGGGTTAATGAATCTTTTTTGACAAAAGGCAGAATTGAGTAGATTCTCTTCAGTTCTGCCATTCATGCCATAACCAAGCCCGGTGTGGTAGATTGTACAAATCAACTGCCTTAGATAGATATCCATGGTGAGTTTCTTTTTTGGCACCACTTGGCAGGGCTTTAAAGAAAAATAGGCACTACCACAGGAATAGGAAAGTTTGTACATGTTTGTGTTTGTGAGTATGTGTGCATGTGTGTGTGTGTGTGTGTGCCTTTTGATTTTCTCTTGTCAGACATCACAGCAGAACTAGTAATGTGGGGGAGAGAGCGATTATATTCAAAATAATAAGTTTCAGCTGTGGGCTAAGTGTGCTTGCCTTTAATAATTAAAATCAGCTGTAGCACTGTACTAGCCATGCTCTAATGTGGGTGCCCGGCATTCAATCGATTTTGCTACAAACATACTGACTCATTTGGCTGGCAGCAGATAACTCAGAGAAAAATCGATCAGCAAGGAAGACCTTTCTCCACTGTGCGAGGGCAGAGTACTGCGGAGTGCAGAAGACAGGTTAGAAATCTTGCACATCTTTCAGAGGGAGATTTCATTCCGCAAAAAGGCGTGGAAGTGGCATCTGTTTTTCTGCACAGGAGGAATGAGAATAGTTATGAATTTTAGGGAGACCAGCTAAATCATTGTCTTCATCTATCATTCTAATCTAGCATAGTTACCAATAGTCTTCCCATTCTCTCCCTTTGGCTCCATTAATATAACTACAGCCAAGTGTTCTCTATCTCATTGATTTGATGAAAGAGAAAAGTGATTTTCCTATGTATTTGCAAAGGAGAAGATAACATTTAAAAAATTCTCATAGGTGGAGCATAGCATGGTACTGATTTCGTGAGAATGTCCTGCATTTCACGGGGCAATCTTTCTCTAGTAGTCTGCACCAAACCTGGCTCCACACTTTACTGTCTCTCCAATGAAATGCATGGAGCTTTTTCAGCCTGTGCAGCCTGAGAGCATTCCCTGGGATGAAAGGGTGTGTAATGGAATAACTGTCATTGAACCTTCAGCCACTTTGAAAGGGGGCAGGTAAACTGATAAATCTCATGTAGAGAAATTAGGACAAAATTCTCAAACTCCCTGAGAATAAAGTACAAAAACAAGTGTCCGCCTGATGGGTAGCAGAGGGAGCCTGCTGAGAAATTGATTTTGTACAGGACTAATTGAAGTGCAATTCATGGGTTTCAGATTGTTTTCCCAGAAGCCCTTGGGTGACAGAATAGTTGTTTTTTTTTCGTGGATTCTTGTTTGATAACCTGTAATCTTCTGAATGGGCAGCTCAACCACCATTTTAAATCTTTTTTTGCATCGTGGAATTCTGCATGAGGGAGCAGGGTGAATGCTCCCTCTTCATATTTGGCAGCAGAGTTGAAGGCCATGATCATTTGAAGTGAACTGAAATATGCTGACAATCTTCGGTAATGCAGAAAAATTGCTGGTGACAAACTCAAAGTGGAAAGTGTTTTGTTGGTGTTCAGAAATGTAAAAACCGCAGACCTACAACATGCAGTACTCTGGAACATCTGGTAGCAATTGGGTGCAGCTAAGATAGAGCATTCTGATTTATAATGTGCAGCCACTTTCTGGTGGATGTTTTCCATATGTACTGCTTTGCAATGCTAATATTGGGTATAGGTCTATGCACATGCATATGCACAGCATTTGTATATCAGGTCCCCCATACGAACCTCAAGTCAATGTGTCTGGTAACATTTTTCTCAAAAGAACGTTCCTAAGGGGGAAAGAGGTCTGTGTTTATAGTAACAGCTGCCTATAGGCAAAGTAAACATGGAGGTGATTTCAGTCTACAGACTTCATGTAAATTTCTTATTTGATTAATATGAAAACTCAGTTTAGAGTAGTCACTATATGAAGTTGGTAAAGTTCATAATTTCTTGACTTTTGGAGTTCTCAAAACTTCCTGTAACTATTAATTAAATGGTTCCCTTCATTAGATTTCTCTACTTTGTAATATAATCCAAACCATAGAAGGGATCTTTCTTTCCACTTTCACTATGCCCCCTCCATACCTGCAAGGGTATCTGGAGAGGGATGGGGAACAAATATCAGGCACCATGCTATAATTGTCAGAAAGTTTATGCACACGATATCCCTTGTATCTTGGCACTAGAATATGTCTCATGCAAAAGACATGATTTGCATATATTTTTCAATCACGTCCTTACACACATGACATCTTTGTGACCAGTACTGGATGTCTATGCTGTCCCTCCACTCACTCCCTTGCAGTCCTCTTTCCTTTCTCGCTGTTAGGCTGCACCATTTAAGATTGTAAGAAGTCAGAGGAAAAGATGAAAATGCACATGGCAATTGGGTTGGCAGGAAGGATTTGATCTTTATTGTATGCCTATTACCTCTGTGAGAAGCGAAAAAGAAAGATTAGAAAGGTAATAGCAACTGAGCTGTGGAACTAGCTACAGTGCGGTATCCTAATCTGAATAAAATGGAGGAAATTCTTCCATTGCTGTTTGTATCTTTGATTGCTCCTGTGATATCCAAGACATTATGCTTTAGGATGAACCTATTTGGTTGGTTTTCACTTACTGATTATGGGAATGAATTGAAGTAAATTAGCATTATGTGTTGTTATGGTTTGTCCAACACAACATCACTCAGGAAAATTATGGTTTATCTGAATGTAGAAACATGGTCAGTAGGTTTATTCACATCATGTGTGAATTGCGATACAGAGAGCCTTAACCAATACCTGAGTGCATGGTTTCCTAATTATGGGCTAACATCTTCTCAAAGCCAAATGTCGGACTACTACATGTGGTGTCAGAAACAGAAACTCTGTATTACTCTGTTCTAGCTATTCTAGCTGTTTTAGTTTTGAACTGCTGTGATTTTTTTGGATCTGTAAAATAAAAAAATAGGAAAAAGTGCTTTCATCAAACATCAGAAAGTGATTTTTGCTTTGATTATTATGCATCCCTCCCCCTCTCTGTTTCTTTCTCTCTCTCTTAAATAGGAGATGGCTTGATTATGACCTTAGAACAATAGTCCATATAATTAGCTATACCTTCCACTTGGTCAACATTGTCCATTTATGTTACAATATTGCTTGTAACATAAATATGTTTGAGTCTACTGTTGGTATATAATATATTTCAATATATGAACCAGTTTCTGATGATAACAATTGATTGTATGAAATGTTTCAAGGATGTCTGTAATTATGAGTTGATACATAAATTATCTGTTCAAATATTAATATATGACTATCATTCGGCATTGTAGTCAATTGCCTATCACCTCATATGAATTAGCATGTTGCCTTTCAGGTAATTGGACTCCCAATTAATAAATGCTGACTCAATAGTTGGATGTATCTAAGCAGTTCCAGCTTTGGCACAACTATTTCTGAGGGGTAGAAATATTCTAATACTAGAATATGGTGTTGAACTACATATCTTGCTCTCTTCCTTTGACTTATTGCATTTTCCGTAAATTGTACAAACCATTAGATTTTACCCTGGAAATTTGTCTTGTCTATTTTTCTTGAAGATCTAATTACTGTCACCTATTGTTTGCAGAATACCAACTGCTGCTGGAAAAAAATAGGATGATAAAAAATGCAATCTGCTTCCTGCCTTTTTTAGTCTGTTATATAATGATGATACAAAAACTAATTTGTTCTTTGCAACACAAAAAAATAATGGTTGGGAGTAAAATTATAATTAATGACTTTAAAATATAGCTAGAAAATTTACTTCTACTTCAGCAAGGCTGGAAGACATTTTCTAAAAGAACACTGAGTTGAAATTAAGCTAATCTTTTTATTCTGTCAAAAGGTGGCCAGTATCTGTGAGCTATAAGATCTGGGGAAGGGGAGAATAGCTTGTTAGGAATATAATCTAACGGTTGAGTTGGCAATATATAAATCATGTAACAATGCTGTACCTGTTTCTTTAAATCATGCTGTAAATGTGATTGGTTGCTGTTTCCTCAATCGGCCATAAGATGGAGCCAGAATCACTGTTAGATGCTGATCTGATCTGAGTGTTTGGAAGCTGGCTGTTAGAAGTGCCGTATTATGATCAGCATGAGCTACTGTAAGTTTTGCAACTGCTAGCAAACTTTGTGTACCAGACTGTTTGTATGATTATGGACTATGTTATTTGGATTATCCCTTAACTGAAAGACATTGATGACTGACTGTCTTATCCGTGTATGACTTGGACTGTTTGATGGACTCTGATACCTCTATTTCCACAAAAGTAAAAGCCTAGTTAAACTGCAGTGTCTCTGTATGCTGGTTTGTGTGTTCTCCAACACCATTCCCACAACGCTTCTCTGAACGTACTCGCTCTCCCAACGGGGAGCTTACCTAACATAGTTTATTTCTCTTTGCTGATCCAAATTCTTTGTTGAATATGAAGCATCTTTCCCCTTCCTTCCTTCCCTCCCTCTTTTATAAATCCAATAGGAAAATATTTCCAGGTTATTCTCTTGGTCAATTCATTTGTATTTCCCTTTTAATTTTTGAAACTTCAGGTAGTATTTTTTGTATATCCATTCTCATGGTCCGTCATTTGTAGTTCTATGTGTGATACTTAGAATTTGTTACACATGTCATTGTAGTTACTAATTTCTGGCCCCATGCTTCAAAGATATCCTTTAATATATCCAATGTTGTAATGTTTTGTGTCATTTTATAAGTCACTGTATTAACTGACATCAAGAAAAGGCTTGCATTTTTTTTCTTCTGCTTAGAATCTTTGGTGGCCTATCCTGACCTATTTCTAAAGTCATCTTTGTCATAACTTACAATAGCCAGGAAAGCCAAAATAAATCTTTTCCATAAAAAGCTATTTTTTATAATTAATTCCAAAATCATATGGTAAAAATCAATATTCCAAATTTATCTGGACCCTTAAATCCATTAATAACTTTCTGAAATCCAAATCTTATTTAGCTCTTGTTTATTTCAAATTCTTTAAGTTCTTAAGCTTATAATTATTTCTTCTTTTGTTCAGAGGTAAAAATAAATTCACTCTGTGTAGAGTGTTCAAACTTATCATTCTGAAGGTCTCTAATAACTTTAATATGGTTAATTACCAATTTCTGAAACTGATTAGAAAGTGAGGTTTGCAAACTTAATATCCTTGAAAGGCTCCACTGTGATTGCAAGCAAGATGGGTGTTCCTGTCATCTCCTGGCACTGAAACCTGTGCAAACCTGTCTAGAAAGCAGCTGCCTGGAGCACATGTGGGCAATTCCCCATCATCTCCTTATCCTGGTTACAAGAAATGGGTCTACTCACTGGTTCTTTGGTCTTTGCTGTGGTTGCCAACTTTGGTGGAGCAGTTGTCAGTTTGCCTACCTTTCTTGGAACTCCTCTTATTGCAGTTCTTCTTAAAATAATTCAAAGCATATATCACTCTATGTTCTGTCCCCACTACACATTAGCCTGTGTGCAACTTGACATGCAGCTAAACCCACCTATCCTCCAATAAAACAGACCGTGTGTATAGATCTGAATGCTTTATTGAAAGAACAAGATATGCTGAAACTGGGGAAAATAGGACTACATACAATGAGAACCAAATACAGGATAGACCCGTGATGGACCTATGGTACATGTGCCAGATGTGACACACAGAGCCCTCTCTGTGGGCACGGCCCAGCTCAGCTCCAGTCGTGTTTCTCCATCGTGTTTTACTCACTTTCACTTTCCAACTTCTCATGAAAGAAAAAGATCTTGCGATGTTGGAATTGATTGAGTGAACATTTTCACTTGCGCTTCACAGTGGGGGAGGCAGTGTCCCGTCCTCCTCCTGAAGCCCATTACGATGTGGAGCCACAATGCGACCCATGTGGCTCTTTCACCCCACTGCTGCAGCTCATTTCATTTCATTCCATGGATTTATAGGCCGCCCAATCCCAGAGGACTCTGGGCGGCTCCCTGTCACCCTGTCACAGCAGAAGGATGAAAGAGCTGTTGCCCTGTCACAGTGGTGGTAATGGGTGGAGCCTTAGTGTGGGAGCGAAGTGCAACTGTATTTGCCTTTACGCAGTAATAGCATTCCACCTTTGTTGTGGTACATTTACTGTTGCTTCCAGCAAAGAGGGCTGGGAGAGAATGGCGGGTTCAGATTTTGCGGGGTGGGGAACATCCCCTATATCTGGCCTTCCTCCTCCCTCATCAGCAGGGCCAAGAGAAAGAAGGGGGAGGCGTGGGGAAGCACTCCTCTCTCCTGGCCGAGCGTTGAACACAAAAGCCCCAGGTGTGGCAGGTGGCCCAACAGAAGTGCCCCCATTGGCAAGCCGGACAGTGGAGAGGCCTGGCCGAGCTCTCACAGTGGGACATTGTTCAGCATCTCCAGACACAAACTGCCACCTTTGAAATGCGCCAGGCCTTTGAGGGAGCTTGGCAGCAATGGCTGGGGTTGGGGAGGAGAAGTGGAGGCATCAAGGCTGCTTCCCCCTCCTCAGCAAACTGGGCCTAAAGGAGCATGGATAGTTGGGGGCCAAGTGCAGGAGGGTCAGAAGGCGCACTCCCACGTTACCTGAACATGCTTTCCAGCACCCTCTCCTTTGTCCTGAAGAGGGATTGAGTGGGGGGGGGGTAGGGGGAAGGGAGCAGGAAGCAGGGGGAAGGGTAGGGGGGCTTCTAGGAGGAGAAGCCCAGCTGGCTTTCCTTTTAATGTGGGGCAATGTGACCCAATAAAAGTCCATTTTTCCCGAATAAATTGGGAAAATAAAGGCCCGGCAGTCCAGAGTCCATAAAGGGTGGTGGGGTCTGTTCATCGGAGAATCAGAGAAGAAATCAGTTGAAATCTGGTCGGGAGGCTATTTAGAGAGGGAATTTAGAGAGGGATTTGCCAGGTTCTCTTCTTCCCTCCCCCTTATATTCTCCCCTCCCGGCATTCTTCCCTAGCTTCGTTTTAAGGGGAGGGGGAAGCAAGGTGGGACAATAGTAGCTAAAAGGGGAGTTAAGCCACAACCAGCTGCTGTTATTTTTGCTGAGAGCTTCTAAGCTACACAGCATTCTTTAATAAATATTAACAATAACAATACATAATATGCAGAAGTGAAGGAAGGAAGGTGAAATCAGAGGAGGGGGAAAGGAAAGAAAGAAAAAGGGATGGAAGGAAGGAAAGAAGGAAAAAGAAGGAAGGAAGGAATAAGGATGGGATGATTCTCCAGAGGCTATGCATTTCTTGTGATGGCTACTACCATCATTCCTGAGTTGTGCTGTTAAAGAAATCCAGTGCCACCAAAGAGAAGTCAAGTTATGAAAGAGTGATTGAAATTCCTCACAAAACCTCAACATTCAGGTTAAATTGCCATGTTGGCACTTTGTGATAAATAAGTGGGTTTTGGGTTGAGGTTTGGACACTCGGTCCCTAAAAGGTTCGCCGTCACTTTTATACAGCATGATAGTGAAGCAGTTCTCAAAAACTGAAAACAAAATAGCAGAACAAAAGTGAGGCAGGAAAATAACAGTGAAATGTATGAAACCTTCTTTGAAAAGGATCCATTGGAGATCTGTTTCTTTGTTCCTTTTTAACTCAGTTTGGTAATCAAGCTTTCTATTTTTGGGAGGGAGATCAAACAACAGGACATCACAATAGGTGGCCTCTTTTCTGTTATCACTGGTTAACCTTTGGTTGGCAGTGACATTCAGACAAGGGCTTCCAATGTGGCCTTAACCATAACCAGATTTATGCAGGAAGAAGCTTTGCTATTAATGCCTGAATGAGGAGAAGCATTCTGATGACATACAGATGCAGACAGTTTGATTGTTAGAAATAATTGTTGCATTGTTCAGCATGGTTAAATTATGTTTCTGATGAGAATGTAGATAAAAGGCACAATGAATGAATCACAGGATGTAAATCAATAACCTAATTATTTTTTACCTTAAGCCTCCTCTGCCAGGATTCTGCTACCAGTCTGGAAGAGGGTTGCTTGACAACACCCAGCAGGATGGCATTACTGTGAGTGTTAGTGCTTATTGATTGCTTTCACTGGGGTCTGTTGCAAGACATAAATAAGAACAGTCCTGGTGAAATTGATCACATCGGGTCTTTGCAGCATG